CTATGGACTGAAAAATAAAAATAAAAATACAAGTTTAAATAAATATAAAAAAAAACACCACTTCATCAATTTTAAAAAAATATGATAAATATATTGTTTTGCAGTGTTTATGGCTTTAAAGTTGAAACTGCATTTTCTTAGACGTGATAGCTAATAAACAGAAATAAATATGTTCAAATTTTTGTTAAAGAAGATAATAACATATCGTTTATTTTCATTATATTATAATCAAACTTTGGGGAAATAAAGGTGCAATACCACCAAATCATAGTACGTCACATCCCGTGCATATGAAAAAGGGTAGAACAAAAATATACCCTTGACTTTAATAGTTGTAGGAAATTAATCCTACATTTCATTAAAAATTCTGAGTCATCAACATATATCTTGGGTGTTTCAAAGCACCATCCCTTTTTTATTTGGTGTTTCAATAAAATATTTTGGAAACTTGAGGTAACATGGTTACTAAAGCTTGTAAACAGAAAAGAAAAGGGTTGACATTTGATTGGTTAACTTACAGTGATGGTTATTACTTTATATGCAATGAAAAGTTAAGGGAAGTGTTGTCTGTAGTACTGAACAGGATAAAACTTTACTCATGCCAAGTATTTCTTTATTCGAAACAAAGATAAATTCTGCACAATTTTTTGAAAAGTGCAAATTTAACAAAGACTAATAGGGGAAAGTCAATGGTAGTATTACACCTAAAGACGTCTAACAATTAATATCACATTTGTTTACATATGATTTATGAAGCCCAATGTATAAAAAAAAACAACAACAACAACATTGAAATATTTCAAAAGTTACAAGGAAAACAAACAATCATGATATAGAGATAAACTTTAGACTTTGCCAATTAAAATAACACATTAATTGTTTATGTATCATGCTTTCATTCTATATTGTGTACGCACGTATCAAAGTATCTGTCTTGTAAATAACACTTACGTCTTGAAAAATAACAGTTATACAAGTTAAATATCTGGAAAAATATGTTAAGCTACTCACGAAACAAAACATCAGAATCTCAAAAACATCACTGCATACAATTTATAAAATATAGTAAACATATTGTTGTGAAATGATTGAATGATTTCGGCTGTACATTTAAAAAGAAGTGCAGATGTCTGTCCAGTTAAATTTATCATATCAACACAGACCTCAGAAAGATCAAGTATGTGTAAAAGAACACTATAAGGTATGCTCGATTTTTATAGTTGTAAACTGATTTTAGAGAAATTAAGCCATTTAAAGTCGTCGTTACATTTGATTTAATATGCTTGTTGAAGCTTACATAATGTAGTACTTCGATAACTAAATAATTACATTTGTTTAATAGTTGTTAGCAAGTTGTAAGCTTGATACTTAGATATAGCAAATTGAATAATGATAAAACAGAGTAAATTTCTTTTTAGTAATTTGATATTTCAAAATCACTAAGTGCGAACAATATCTAGATTGAAACATATTTAACTGATGCTCAAATTTCATTAATTCAATAAGGAGAGGCAAATCAAGCAAAAAACAAAACTCGGGGATTCGCATGATCTCCAACAGGAGCAAGTCGGCGTGCGTCAATGGGACAAATGATACCTGATATGCATGATCTCCAACAGGAGCTAGTCGGCGTGCGTCAATGGGACAAATGATACCTGATATGCACGATCTCCAACAGGAGCTAGTCGGCGTGTGTCAATGGGACAAATGATACCTGATATGCATGATCTCCAACAGGAGCTAGTCGGCGTGTGTCAATGGGACAAATGATACCTGATATACATGATATCCAACAGGAGCTAGTCGGCGTGCGTCAATGGGACAAATGATACCTGATATGCATGCATCAATCACCAGTCCATACTTAGTCAAAACATCACTATCGGGAATACGACACAATCGGTAAATTTATAGATCAGACGACTGTTCTTTCTTTTTAGTAATTTCTTCTTTCAAAATCACTCAGTGCGAACAATATCTAGATTGAAACATATTTAACTGATGCTCAAATTTCATTAATTCAATAAGGAGAGGCAAATTAAGCAAAAAACAAAACTCGGAAATTCGCATGATCTCCAACAAGAGCTAGTCGGCGTGCGTCAATGGGACAAATGATACCTGACATGCATGCATCACTCGCAATGCCAGTTCATACTTTGTCAAAACGTCACTATCGGGAATACGACACAATCGGTTAATTTAAAGACCAGACGATTGTTCTAATATACAAAGCTCTAAGACAACCAAAATATGTCGTTAGTTAGTTGAGAACCATCGAACAGATCAACCAATCCGTGATTGTAACTGTGAACTTCTGTAATGTCGAATCAGTATGTTAGTGCTGAGAAATTGAAAGTTGAAATCGTTTGTCATTGATTCTAGATTGTGTCAATTTTGAAAGAAAAATCAAGATATAAAGCAGATTTGCTACTTTCGGTATATGAGTTGTAAGCACACGCGGAAATGTCGGTTATTGAATTACAAAACATCGTCGATATTTCCGATTATGGAATCAAAGAACTTTGCAAGGTGTTTTTTGTCATTTTCTTTGAGATGATTTTTAAAATAAAGTTATGCCTAAGGTGCTTATAGTTGGATTAGACATACATAGCAGGAGGTGCAAATCCTGCAATGTTCTCCTGTGTTATACAAAGACATGTGACATTTAAGCAAAACATCGGAATGACAGTAGTTATTCTATTTTTCTAAGTTTTGTGCTCGAGCACCCTTTGATATACAAACAAAGACATGTTATATGATGGCCAATAAAACAAAAAAAATATTCAAATGACATGGATAACAATTATAGGTCACTTTACGGCCTTTAACAAGGAGAAAACCTCATATTCCCCATAGGCAGTTATACAATGAATATTCAACTTGTAAAACCAGGTTTGTATGTGTGCAACACATCTCACAATTTTACTTTTTGCACGAATTTTATGATTGCTTCATTAAATATGTGTTTTTTTTTTATTCATATAAAAAGCAAGGATTGTTTTGTTATTAAATAATACCAGCCGAGAGATAAAAAACAAAAAAATTGTTAAAACGCTTTTTTGGCAATTAATTTTTTTGCAAACAAATGCTAAAAATATTTAGAAACAAACGCGGACAACTTAACTTTGAACTCATGATCCACCCCGAATAGAATAAAATAAAACAACGTTACCTAGTTCATTCATATGATATTTAGGTTAAAAGTAACTATATGCACATGATTCATTTGTTTTTTTTTCACAGTTTGATTTAGAAGAAAAATCTTGATTTAGAAGAAAAACCATGGTTATAAAATACAAATAATTACACCATAACTAACACAATTCTATATTAATATTCTTGTAATGGTTAGAAAAACACATAAAATAACACCATTACAAACTTAATCCCAATTTCATATTGTATTTTTAGAAATTTAACTGTGACGTCACTTTTTGTGGCGTTGATACATTCGTGTGACGTACAGTTCAATATTCCATTGTGCTGTATTTGTTTTCTGTCGTAAATTAATTTTAGGTGTTCGTTGTTATTCTGTGGTTTAAATGTTGAAATGGAATATTATATTATTTATTTATGTATTTCTCTGTCCTGAATGTTCTTGCATTTATTTGTACTTTATTCCTGTCACGTAATGTTGTCATTTTAGCGGATGTTTTAGCATTGCTATATAAGCAGGAGGTTTGGCTAGTTATAAAACCCGGTTCAACCCACCATTTTTACTTAAAATGTCCTGTACCAAGTCAGGAATATGGCAATGGTTATCACATAGTCCGTTTTTATAGCAGTTCAACGTTTCTGTTGTTCCGTTTTCTTTCATCTTATAGTTGATGTGTTTCCCTCAGTTTTGGTTTGTGACTCGGATTTGTTTTCGCTTAATTAATTTATGACTATTGAACAGCGGTATACTACTATTGCCTTCACTGGTGTAATTATTTCCCTGGATTGTTCCTTTTTTGTAGAATTCAAATATTGATACAGGTTAAGAGGAAACATTTGATATATATGTATGCATTATTGCAAATGTTAAGACGACACATGACAATTCTGAATATTGATAATGTTCCAAACAAGGCAACAATGTGTTTTGTTTAAAATTTTATATAAAGTATTTCTTAATGTAGTGCAGACAGATGGACGACATAATGAAAAACAACATCGGTCTGACAGTTAAATTGTAATGCGTTTAACATGCGGTTTATATCGACTTATTCAGATAGGATCCTAGTTTTCTTGTTCACTACCAGTATACTAGATGTCATTTCTTCATTGTTTTAAAAGACATTTTAAACAAGATACAAGGGGGCACTAGAAAATCCAACAAAAACAAACAACACCATGTAAAAAAATAAACGATAAAAGGACAAACAACAATAACAAAACAATACAAAGAAAACTGAGATCTAGCATCCGTCGTTTTGCTCATGAAAATATCCATTGTGAGTCTTTTGTGGTAAAATAGGAAAGATTGTTGTTGTGACAAATGGAACATATCCGTAGTTATATGGAATAACAATATTTCAAATATGTCAACCAAACGATGATCGCGTCCGCAAAGCCATTTCAGGGATGCCACAATGATCGCGTCCAAAAAGCCATTTAACATGTTTAAGGGATGCCATTAACATTAGTATTTGAATTCAATGTCTTCTGTGTTATCAGAAACCCTCTATCATGAAAGTCATGATTAGGTTATTAAATGTCTGGTTGAAATAAGATAATAGAGGAAATGGAATCTAACAAAACCTAGTCAAACACCTCAACATTGAATTGAATGACCGGAGCACATAAACAAATCTGAATCATGGAAATATATACCTTTATCATAGAGGTTGTGTATCAAAGATGTCTGTATTTAATGGTCATTGTTAAATATTTAGCCTATAGTTACGGGGTGTCTAGCATCCAAACGAGCCTAGTGTTTAAATATATTTCAAAATCATGTCTGTAGTAAATGACTGTTTTGACTATTTGTCACTTACAATAAACGTAGATAATACTTACTAATCAGATTTCTCTTCCTTTCTGAAAGACGAAACAGATCAATGGTGTCAGTTTCACATGTATAAGTGACAGATTCACAAACAAATATACTGATAGATGTGTTGTCGTTTACTCAGATAGCATTTCCAAAGCAAAACAAATGGTTTCGAATAAAATGTGGTTGATATACTTCATTTTACCACCTATTGTTGAAATATACTGTGAGTTAACCACTTACAATCGTTTTGAACAAAGATAACATTATTATGATAACATTAACGGCATTACATTTTCTTCATCAGACGTGCATTACGACAATTAATGGTCTCATAGGTGATGATTGAATCAGCAAATATAAGAATATAAAATAAATACAAACGTAAAGTGTTTAAATTGATAAATATTCGCTGCATTGAGAGCTATACAGTATGCTTCCATTGACAATCGTGTTATTATTTATGAGTCGTTTTATCGTTCTGAATATGTGAAACATAACCGTCGAAAAAGGGCCAATGTCGAGTCTTGAAGATAAAGTTCAATGTTAAACTATAATTAGTGTATGTACGATTTGTCGTTCATTATTGAGGATTGTGGTTAAGTTCAATGTTGTTCTGGAATTTCCAACGAATCAAAACTACAATGTTTTACCAAGGTATAAGTAAATATTTTTATTAACGTATCAAAATTGACCTTACAAAATTTTTTCACTTTAAGTTATTCTGGAAAATTCGGTATCCAAGTGACTTTTATACGTCCATTCATATCAATGATGACACAAACAGTCCTATGTTGCTCGTGACCTGCATATACAGGTGTTTTATTTATTTCAAATCTCAAAGTATTTACAAGTTATGAGGTAGATTTCTACTAAGAAACTACTCTTGAAAACTCTTTCTGTTTTTTCTTACATCAATGATCTTTAAGTGGATTTCTAAAACATTGCAATCATCTTGGTGTCCTTAGCCAAGTACAATTGAAAGACGTTGCATAGTTCGAAGAAGACAGATATTCCGCACATCATTGAAACTTAAACATTTAAAACCTTTTTTTTTTAATTCAAACATTGGATACGCCATATAAGATAAATATATATCTTTACGTCATGTCCATAGAAACAATATTAAGGAACTTACCCACACTTAAAACATCTGTACAAGTATTTGCCTTCTTCTTTTGGTTTCACATCCTGTTCATAATCACTATAATGAACACCACAATTGATTGAATTAAAATTAAACTTTTTTTTTAAGATGATATAAACACTGAGCTATTACTAACTGGTACACAAATAAACAGTGTAAAAATACCAAACGACATTTGAATATACATGAGGCACTTACACAGTCAATGATTCTCAAGTTAGATAAAAACAAATTATAATCTACCCATACCCATACAGAGATATAACCTTAGCACCATATGGTGTCCGTGTCGGATATTCTAGTGTTGATGATCATATTGGTCTATATCGTCTCTTTTTTACAAAACTTGATGACATCACCAAAACAATATTCGAATGTACACCAACTGATGTATCGACAATGTAATAACGAATTAACGACATTCTCATCTATATTCAAAATCCATACAGAATTATTTATGTTTTATATATACCTTTCCCTTCCTTTTCCCCGGCTTTCTTACAGCAAAAAATATCATGAACTGATGAAGTCTTTTGATTTAACAATACGCAAAACAGTTTTATTGTTCGGCATATTGGTAATATCACATGACTATTATTCCAAACATTTTAAAAATAACTGGTAGTGTTATGTTAAGGTCATTCAGTGATAGTATACAGTCAAACGAAACAAACGAAACAAGTAAATTAACAAAAATACCAAACTCCGAGGAAAATTCAAAACGGAAAATCCCTAATCAAATGGCAAAATCAAACCAACTTTACTAACTTTTGTCGCTATTCGTGAATGTAATTGCTAAAGTCGTTGATCTCTTGATCAACAGCAGATTGTGAATGTGACTGCTAAAGTCGTTCATCCCTTTATCAACTGTCGATTGTGAATGTTACTGCTGAAGTCGTTGACCCCATCGTCAACAGTATATTGTGAATGTGACTGCTAGAGTCGTTGACCCCTTCATCAACAGTCGATTTTAAATGTGACTGCTAAAGTCGTTGACCCCTTCATCAACAGTCGTTTCGAATGTGACTGCTGAAGTCATTGACCCTTTCATCAACAGTCGATTATGATTATGACTGCTAAAATCGTTGACCTCTTCATCAATAGTCGATTGTGAATGTGACTGCTGAAGTCGTTGAACCTTTGATAACTACTCGATTGTGAATGTGACTGCTGAAGTCTTTGAACCCTCCATCAACAGTCGATTTTAAATAATCTTGTGAATCGAGGATATTTCAAAAAAGAAGTGGACAACATCAAAGTGGAGATTCAAAATCATACGTCGAAGACAAATTGGGAAAGATATGGCAAACAACGAAAATTGACGAAAGGACACACGACAGTTATCATAAAACTACCTAAATAGATACAAAATTAAAAGAAGTCTGCGCACCATGACTCGATAATGTCGTTGGTAAAACAGTATGGTGTCCTCAGCTTATATCATGCACAACTTGCCTTACTAGTGCTGATAATTTTGATGATTTTTTTTTACATTCAGTATCTTGGTTATATCGTAAATTTATAGTATCAAGATTCTAAATCTTCAACTAGACAAGCAGACACATTTTAACGAGCAGTATATTTACGAAAATTAAATGCAACTAAATTTTAACGCTATGGAAAATAATTAACGAGATAAGTTTGCATAGCATTATCAGTATTAGTCACTTAATCGTAATCGTGCTAGATTTAGTGCTTCCTTACATATGCAATCTATTACAAATGACTTTGTAGAAGATGTCAATCAAAACAAAACCAAATATTAAAACCAAATATATGTATCAAGAAATATAAGCAAATACGGCTTTAAAAACAGCTACTTAGAAACAATGTAATGCAGTTAAGTACATAACTAGTAAAAATGTCAACATTTAAACAGTGCTCTGGTTTACACAATATAGGATACCAATTCAATCAGAATCGTCGATAGAGGGGCTTCATTACGTAAAATTTGAAGGTATACATGAATAATTTACTTAAATCATTGACGAAGAGGTTACATTGTCATAAGAGTAAATTTAACACTGTAAAATATACAAACATATTGCCCTACCTCTTTGGTTTAGGTAATTCTATCTCTCTGTGCCCGGATTGTAGTGTACGTACATCACTGTAAAAATAGTCCAATGAATTTGATTTTATGTATGTGTTTCTTTAAGGCCTAATATCAAAACAAAACATTCTAACAATTCTTGAAAACAAATTTCACGGTACCGGTTTGAAAACTTAGTATTCCTGAATTACTTCTCAATTTTACGAAGTATCGGGAGTACATTGTTATTTCATTTCGTAATGTACATAATTATTGGCCACATCTGTTTTAACTAAAGTACATTGTTAATCAATTATAAATAATAAACTGAAAATAATCACATATTTTGTTTTATTAAATTGTATCCACTTCGACTTTCGTGCGATTTACTTCAGAAATACATTAATATTTGAAAACAGAATTATGATTAACCAAATATATGGACCGGGAAAAACCCTACACGAATAAATGTCACATTATAGTTATCAAGCCATATAAAACATATGTTACGACTGCGAAAAGCAGTCGACTAATCAATACTCTTATCATGTGTTTTCCCCATTGGTTTACCTTATATTGAATGTGCCAAACAACTGTGTGATGTCATGATTGGTTGTGGACTTAGAAGTATAGTGTACGTCGGGATACTCGGTTATAGGCTCTATCGTCAGCTTTGCAATGTCATCTTTAAGCTTCTGTAAAGATTGTAACAATTTATCATCGTTTCGCGTTTTGTCTAGTTCATATATCTTCTTGTCTAAGTCGCTTCCCACTTTCAAATCTATTCTAGTATCTGATATGATCGTTGTCAATTTGTCCTTGTCCGTCCTGGATTGATCCTTGACCGATGCAATCATATGTGCGATACATTTATCAACCATAGCCTTTATATTTGTACCTTCTTCTGTAATAGCTTTGACAACTACTTCAACCTTCATATCAAATGCCCTTAAACCTTCTTCCATATTCTTCATATTTTTGGTTGCCTCTTGTACCTTTCTACGCAGTTCTTGTTTATTCTTCGCTTTCAACCGTGCGATGCTGTCATGAAGCCTCGAGAAATCGTGCCGTTTGTGACTTCCTGCTGCAAACTGCTACGTTACAGGTATTACACACAAAACTTACGTCTTCATTGTGGTCTTTGCATTTTGATTTACCTTCCAGGATTATGTCTAATGCAGACTTAAACTGGTGAGTTTTTCATATTTTCTGCCTATTATGAAATGTTTTACAATTTTCACAAAAGTATTGCTCACACTCTAAGCAGTATTGCGATCCTGAAGCACTTATGCAAATTTCACATGTTTTAGACGCCGCCTGAGCCATTTCATCGGAAAGCATATCCACTTATCACACTGGTAATTTTAAAAACCCGTGACACAGTAATCTATATTTAGATAGAATACGATTATATCAATATGTGTCGTTTATTGATTTGAAACGTTAGATATATTCCGATATAAGAGAAACCTCTGTATAAATTAGAAATAATAACGACAAGCGATCAAAATTAATTAAGTCATTATAAGTAAGAAATCAGTGCAACCCGTTATACAGCAAAAGACACAGGGATTGCACATAACAAAGTTGAAGCTGATAATAAGTTTATAAAAATATATAGAATGATTTTTTATATATACGACGAACATTATAATTGAGGCATATGTAGTCTCTATATACCAACTACTGTTCCTTCATAAATATATATTATAAATTGTTTGATTGTTTTATTTTTGTATCCGTATGTTAAACACCTCGTGTTGTGGAAATTGATATACAGGTACAATGCCTACAAAAACATAATGCATTACTTAAATCTTTTGCCATCAAAATGTGCATTTATTCAAATCATCAACGCAACGCTTTTG